ACCGTCCCAGACTGGCGAGCTCCATCCGACGGCTGCGAAGTAGATCTCCATCCCGGCGATCCATCTGCGGGAGTCGGAGTTTCGATCGCTCGGATCGAACGGCTCAGGTGGGCGCGGTTTCGGAGCCTCGAGAAACTGCTGCGACTGCTGCGTCGTCGCCGTTGTCGTCTCGTGCTGCGCTCCGGCGAGTCGAGTTACTCGCTCGAACTGGTTTCGCCACGCTTCGTGATCCGCTCGCATTTCCTCCTGAAGGGCTGCGATGCGCGCGAAGATCTGCTGGGTAACCTCGGCGTTGTCGAAGGTTGCCATCCTGTTCAAAACACGCACGGAGGGGGTAATTCGAAAATCGCGGAGCTGGTGCTTACCAGAATCGGCGTCGAATTGGTCGCCCCCGGCGGTTTTTCGAGGCAGGATCCCCGCTGCTGCTGCTTAGCTGAGCGCGGTCGAGTGAGGAAAGCTCTGATTACCAAGTGTCACAGGATCGAATGTGTCGAGGAAAAGTTGCACTATCGATCAGTACAAGGCGCTTTTATACTTCCAGAGTACATCAGGTAACCAGGTTTATCTTATCCTAAGGGAATAGACCCTTCTAGAAGATAGAATCACCCTGCGTATAGCCACGCGAGGCTATTGGCTTTAAGGGATTACAGCAGGATTACGCTAGATAGAGCGCACCAATACATCCCAAGCCTGGTCGGTGATATAATGATAATAGCAGGATAAACCAAAGGTTAATGGAAAAGGAAGAATAGGAAACCAAATGAGATGCGGTAAAAAGAGAAATGAAAAGGGAAGGAAAGAAGAAAAGGCCAAGTGGTGTAACGGGGTCGTACTCTCACACTGTCGCCCCTGTTCCCCTCCCTCCCTACCCTGCCCCGTCTGGTGTGTCTCACGTCACCCCCCTCCTGGGTTGTCCCTGTTGAGGAGTCTGCTGACTCTCGTGGCTCGGCGGAGTCTCTTCCGCCACCTGTCCCCGCCCTGGTCTCCCCTCCCCTGTCGCCGTCGTTGCTGTCCAAGCCGTAGCCGCAGCCGCAGCCGCTGTCATCACCGCCGCTGGGGTTCGTGCATTCTGGGGGTGCTGGGAAGCGGGCTAGAGCTGGTTCTCGAGCAGGCTCTGGGGGTGCTGGCGTGGGGCTTCTCGAAGGGAGTCGTGTTGTCGCTGGAGGTTCTCGTGTTGGAGTCGGGCTGCAGTCGCAGCTGACGCCGCCGGTGTCCGCTCTTTGCCTCCTTGGTCTTCCTTCCCCTGACCGCCTGCCGGTGCCTCCCCCGCTACCGCCGCCTCCTCCTCTGCCAGTCCACAGCCCTATGTTTCCTCCCCCGGACTCCTCTCTGGCTCGTTTCCCTCCCCGTTCTCCTCCTGTGTCTCCTCCCCTCTCTCCTGACCCGACTCCTCCGTCTCACGTCTGGTCTCGTCGTCCATCTCGTGCTCGTCCTACCTCCCCTCTTCCGCGTTCTCACCCTATGTTGCTTCTCTCTCAAGAGTCTTGTGCGCCTCCTCTCCTCCCGTCTCCTCCCCCATCGTCACTTACAGTGGCCCCGCCTCCGTTCTCGGAATTCCTCCGTGATGCGCGTCCCCTTGTTCCTCGTGTCCTTGCCTCACTCGTTACCGACCCGTCTGTTCATGTCTTGAGTCTGTCGGCTCTTGTTGCTGCTGTCATTGACTTCGCCGCTATTTGCCGCCTGGACTACGCCACCGGTCTGGTCTCTGACCAGACTTCGCGGCGCCAAGTTTTTCTCGAAAACCGACTTGCGAAGGGGTTGCCATCAGATTTGCGTCGCCGCCGAAGATTGTCACAAGACGGCATTTCGAACCCGCTACGGCAGCTACGAGTGCCTGGTGATGCCTTTTGGCCTCACGAATATGCCATCGACCTTCCAAATGACCATGAATGGAATTTTCAAGGAACTCTTGGACAAATGCGTCATCATCTACCTCGACGATATACTAATCTACAGCCGCAGCATGGAGCAGCACTTACATGATCTTGATGCACTCTTCACGCTGCTGCACAAGAATCGCCTCATAACCAAAGGGTCTAAGTGCGACTTTCTCAAGCAGGAGTTGGAATTTTTGGGCCACATCGTCTCTACCGAAGGAGTGAAAATCGACCCAAAGAAAATCAAGACCATACAGGAATGGAAGCCGCCAAGCAACATCAGGGAGCTGCGGAGTTCTTTGGGGTTCGTCAATTACGTCCGCAGGTTTATACCCAATACGGCTGGGTTATTTGCCCCGCCAACTGACCGACTCAAGGATCACGATTGTTTTTTGCGGGGAGAGACGCAGCAAGCTGCAATCGACCAACTGAAGATCGTGCTCACGTCGCCGCCCGTACTTTGCATCGTCGATCCTGACCATCCATACGAAGTCATAATCGACGCTAGCGATATCGCCATCGGCGCAGTTCTCCTACGAATCACGGAAGCTACAGGGCTAAGAGAAAAATTACACGGTACACGACAAGGAAATGTTGGCGATCGTCCACGCGTTCAAGACCTGGCGGTGCTACCTGACAGGCGCTGACGTCAGTGTGCGAACCGACCGCAAATCCCTCCAGTACATGCGAGCCCAACCGAATCTCAACCCGCAAAAAATCCGATGGCTCGATTTCCTCTAGTCAAATTTCCACTACACCATCACCTACAAACGGGGCGCCAACAACATTTCTGATGCCCTGACCCAACCCACTGCCCATACAGCCGCCATACTAGTCGCCCAAACCAGCCCACTCCTTACCGGACAATTTACCCATGGCTACAAGATCGACCCTTCTTCCGCTCCGCCATTCACTAACAGCATACCACCGTTACCGGACACTATTTAATAAGCGCGACACTTCCCGCATCTGGGTTCCCGGCTACGATTTACTTCGTACCCTTCTAATACTCGAATCCCACAACAATCCTACCTCCGTGCATTTCGAAGTCGACAAAACCATGAAGACGTTGCGGCGTAATTATTACTAGCCGAACATGGTCGACGACGTGCGCAAGTACGTGTCCTTCTGCACCGCCTGCCAGATCATGAAATCATCCCATCAGCGAGCAGCTGGACTCTTACAGCCGATGCATCCGCCCAAGAGACCCTGGCAACACGTCACGATGGACTACATGGCAGGACTGCCAGCCGGTCCCAGCGGAAATGACGCCATCCTTGTGGTTGTTGACCGATTCACGAAAATGGCGCACGTCATCGCCTGCCAACAGAAAATTACAGCGGAGCAAACTGCCCAACTGTTCATCGTCAACTTCATCAGACTGCATGGACTACCCACCGCCATTATTTCAGACCGAGACCTGAAATTCACATCGAATTCCTGGCGCCACCTGTGGGACCAATTCGGCACCAAACTACAGTTTTCCTCAGCCTACCACCCACAGATTGACGGGCAAACCGAACGATTCAACCAAACTATGGAGCAACTCATTCGGACTACCTGCACTGATCCACTGACATGGGAGAAATCCCTTCCGCTGCTGGAATTCGCGTATAATAACGCGCCTTCTGCCACAACCCATCAATCCCCATTTTTCCTCAATAACGGACAGGACCCAGTGGTACCCTCTACACCAAACATCGAGACACCCGTGCCCCGGTCCCAGTGTTTTGCCGAAGACATCCTCGCCGCCTGAGAAAAAGCAACTGAGGCAATTCGGAAAGCCAACCTGGTCGCGTCATCAACATGGCCTGACTTACAAAATGGAGGATCCCATAGTACTCGACACTCGCAACTTGCGCCTGCCGATCCCGAGCAAACTTTGACCCCGCTTCTGTGGCCCTTTTCAAGTGACCAATATGGTGACACCTGTCACAGCTCACCTTCGACTACCGGCTGATTGGCGTCACCACCCGGCTTTCCACGTCAGCCTACTACGACCCTACGTCCCCAGTTCGTCGGATTTGGCACGTCAGTGCATCGTACCGCATCTAACGCCCCTGCATGAACCGACGACCGAGCCCCTGAAGATTCTCGGCCATCGAGTCACAATGCAGCAGAACCATCGAATGGTGGATTTTCTCGTCAGACGGCGCGATCGGACGTCTGAAGATGACAGCCGAGTACCCCTCGCTGATATAGAATCACACCCGATTCTAACTGCGTATTATCAGCGTCGGAATGTTTCTGATGCCCACGGCCTCGTTTAGGAGGGGAAGTAGTGTAAGGAATTTCCATTCCTTACTGAGTCATACGCTAGCGCGTACACCCGAACTCCTCGACTCGTCACGTTCGGCCTCATTTGTCGGCCCAACCCTTTCACGAGACGAGTTCGGCACTGTCGCCACATTGCCGAACCTACCCACGTTCCGAGGTTATCGCCCTAGCACGCCAACCCCTATATAACCTCGTGCCTTCATTGCAATAGCGACCTTGTATTCTCACATTATATTTTGTTGACACTTCCTATATCATAACACATCTTGTCTAGGGAGAGGGCTTGGAAGAAAGATGCAATGTGAACACGACATTTGATGCTCGGTTATCGAAGTCTCCGAGCCATAGCCTGCTCGAAACGAGTATATTCCTCACAATGAGAGATGGCGGGCGATTTCACCTCATCGACGAATCATCGTGACCGTGGAATCTGCTGTGTCCAGGTCACCATCATTCCCGCGTCGCAGATCAGATCGCATGAATATACTCCAATCACCTTCGCGAAGTCTGGACAACAACGAGAGTTTTCTGGCATCGCCCACGACCTTTGCCTCGACGAGTTTGAATATGCTGGAAGGCCCTAAGTCGCGCGACCGCTTGCTTGCGAACCTTCAGACGATTTCGCATCTGCTGCAGCGGAGGTCCTCGGTGTCGCGAACTCCTGTTTCGCGAAATGCCAGGCGCGTTTGAAAATGTTTGCCCCGGCGGTCCCCGCCACCGCTGGCTTTGTGCTCCTCACGATGGAAAGATTAAACAACTTGCACCCCATCAAAACGAAGCGAAATGTACCCAAACACACCCAACCTAGCTCGGCATCAACCGTCAGCAGAAAAGCAGGTTCAGAGAAATTCTACCTCCCCTTGCTGGGTTCTTCTCCTTCCCCGTTCAACCTTCAGGAGCCATCAGTGCGCAGCGGCAGCTAATCCATCACTACTCCAGCTTCTTCCCATTTCCATGGCGCGGCGACGCGACAAACTTTGTCCGAAGCGCTCTTCTCGTCCGTTACGCCATCCTCACGACATGGGAGGTGGGGTGAGGCCGAGGCGCCGCGTCGTCGTGATCGCGAGGCACGTGAGAGGCAAACATAACGCCTCTCCTGTCGTAACGACGACGACGACGACGAGATTCGGTACTATAAAGTCCGCCGCAGGAGCGCAATGTAGCATGCTTCATTACTCAGCGCTCTAGCATTCGACTACCCTCTCTCGAAAGTCTTATCGATTCGGAGTGGCACTCACAGCACCACCTGTCTGCATATTTCCCCCGCGACTAGTCCACTCATATCTTAACTAGTCGTCGACTCCAACTGTTTGGAGTAGCTCTCTCGAGTAGTCGTCGGCGCCATCATGAGTCGCGCACTTCTCCTCCTTATCGCGCTATCCGCGTTATTAGCAGCAGCCGGCGTGGCTGCGACTAAGCCCTCCGGCTCTGGCGGAATCGCCCTCCGCGGCGGCAGCGGCGGCGGCGGCGGGAAAAGAGCCGGAGTGGCTAGTACTACTAGAGGAAGCGCCAATGTAACCAGCGCTGCTGGCGGTGGGAAGGGCAACGCAACAGCAGGAGTGAAGCGCGGTGGCAAAGTCGGCGTGTTGTGCGGCGAGTGCAGCAAAGGAGGATCCTCCGGCGGCGGCGCATCTCGCGGCGGAGGAGGGGGCGGCGGTCGCGACGATCATCATGGCTCGGGAGGGTCGCACGGTGGGTCGCATGATGACGAGTCGCACGGCGACGGTTCGTACCACGGGCGCGGGCGCGACGAGGAGCAGGAGGACGAGGAAGACTCGGAGGAGGAGGAGCAGCGAGGCGGCAGTCATCGTGGTGGTGGCGACTGGGATTCGGCGGATGAGGAATCCGAGGATGACTCGGATTCAGCCGAGGCTGACGACGATGAGAGCGGTCACGGGCACGGAGGCGGGCGCGGAGGCTGGCACGGGCGTGGAGGCGGGGGTGGGCGCGGAGGAGGGCACTCGCACGACGAGGAGGAGGAGGACGAGAGCGAGGAGGTGGAGGATGATGGGGAGGATGAGGATGAGGATGAGGACGAGGGTGGTAGGAGCCATGGCGGTCACGGCGGGCGAGGAGGCGGGCGCGGGGGAGGGGGCAGCTGCGGCGGGCTGTGCGACCGTGGCGGGTGCAGCGCGAGCTCGGGCGTGGTGGACTACTGGAAGCTGCCCAAGTTCCAAGACTGCTCCAGCAGTGGCAGCAGCAGCAGCGCGCCGAGGAAGGGCAACGAGGGCTGGTGTGCGGGGGGGGCGGTTAATGTGAAGGAGTGCTGCAGCAAGTGCCGGAGCACCAACGCCACCAGCGACGGCAAGCCCTTCAACTGCCGCCACTGGGTGCACATCCCGTGAGTCCCCCCTCCCTCACATCCCGTGAGTCCCCCCTCCCTCACATCCCGTGAGTCCCCCCTCCCTCACATCCCGTGAGTCCCCCCTCCCTCACATCCCGTGAGTCCCCCCTCCCTCACATCCCGTGAGTCCCCCCTCCCTCACATCCCGTGAGTCCTCCCTCCCTCACATCCACGCCTTCCGTTTCCACTTTTGGGGGTGCACATTTCCATTTCGCTTTTTGCAAGTGCAATCTGTGGCTACCTCTTTTGTACAGCAGTCATTGTTCCTCCCCCCCTCCTCATCTCTACCCCTCTCTCCAATCTTTCTCCCCTCCATTCCAGGTCAGCCAGCTCCCGCCACGGCAGCAGCAGCAGCAGCAGCAGCAGGCAGTGCGGCAAGTGCATCCTGCTGCCTGCCATCGACGCCCTCACGCCCGTGAAGGCCACCCGGGAGCGGTGCGGCAGCACCAACCACACCAAGGTGCGCGTGGGCAAGCGCTGCCCATACGGCGAGAACGACCCGCACTTTCTGGGTGCGCACGGGACGCGCTTTGACTTCAACGGGCTGCCTGACCGCTCCTTCTGCCTCTACACCGACCGCCACGTGCACCTTAACATGGCCATGCGCGGCTACCTCGACTCCCGGCCCCTCCCTGCTGCTGCTGCCACTGCTGCTGCTGCTGGTTCTGTGGCCGCTGCTGCTGGTTCTGCCACTCCTGCTGCTGCCACTTCTGCCAGTGCTGCATCTTCTGCTAATGTGCTGGCTGCTGCTCGTTTCGTCAACGGCTCGGCTGTCCGCACGTGGATCCGCCAGCTGGCAATCATGTGGCACGATGGTGAGGGCAGCAGCAGCAGCACGAATGCTTCTACCTCTTCTCACTCTCTCGTGCTCACAGCACGTGACGGCAAGCAGCAGACTCGTGGCTCAGAAGGCTTTCTTGCCTCGGCTACTCTCGACAATGTGCCTCTCCCTCGCTTGACCCTTGGCCAGAGCCACATTCTTTCCAACGGGCGGCTGAATCTGTCCTTTGTGGGCCAGGAGAAGACCGGCCCGTACGACGTGGACGTGTACTCGCTCCGCCTGGACAATCTCCTGGAGCTCGACCTGAAGCTGCGCGCCGCCCACCCTCTGTTGCAAACACCTGAGGACGCCCAGGTGCACATCAACGTGATGTTTGTGGACTCGAACCCAAGCGGGCAGGTGCACGGGGTGATGGGGCAGACATTCCGCAGCGGCAGGGAGAGGAGAACCATGGAGTATTCGAGGCTCTCTGCCTTGCTGCACCACCCAGTGTCGGTGGACGGGGAGGAGGGGAGGGGGTTTCTGGATGGGGAGGCAGCGGACTATGAGACGACTGGAGTTACGGCTGCTGACTGCAAGTTCACTGCTTTCAACGGGGGACAGCTGCCCCTGCTGGTGGAGTAGAAAGGAGGGGAGGGGGGAAGAAGGGAGGGGGTGAGCATGAATCGAGTGGAGATGGAGATCCATGGTCATATGGTACCAAGGTGGGCAAGAAACATGGCAAGCAGCTAACAGCGGCAAGTGTGGCTGATGGCCTTGGAGTCAACTGCTTCACACCATCCTCGCAACACAAGTGCACTCCAGCAGCCCCACAAGCTAGTGCCTGGTTGGTTTCGCCTGGAGCAACTGTTGGAGTCAACCAAATCGGCCTATAGGAGTCTATCAATCTCTGTTTGTGTACTCTTGTAAATTTGTAATTTACTACTGTTTCCCGCGATGCTATTGCTAGCGTAGCCATCCTCATGTGCCAGCCGGTTGACGAGCACTCCCATTTTGTGGGTGCTGCGTCAACACGCGCACTCTGGCTGGCTATCCTTGCTAGGTACTCCACCCCATCATCTGCCACTCTTGGTCGTCTCCTCCCCCCCTTCTTCAACCCTGACCTGACGTCCTTCTCCACTGTAGCAGACTTAGTCGAGCACCTGCGCTCCCTCTTCACCACTATCTATTTCCTTGTCACCCGCCTCCACTGACCGCCTAGCCCCTGCCCGCGACGCGCTCCTCGTTCGTCACCCTTCTGAGCTCGCCCTTGACCTCTTCTCCACCTCCCTGACAGAGGTAGAGGACCGCCTCCGCGCCATCGCTGGTTCCACTGGCGCGACGGCAGTCCCTATCTTTCAGGGCAGCACTCCCTCCCAAGTGACAGTCCTTGCCTTCGCCTTTGTTGCTGAGACCGCGGCAGCTACCTCTTCCCCCGGTTGCTCCTCTAGCGGCAAGGGCAAGGGCAAGGGGAGCAAGGGTCCTCGGGGGTCGGCAGTAGCGGGTGGAGGGGGTGTGGGTGCGGAAGGAGAGGGTGGTCAGTCAGAGTCGGGGACTGCGCAGCGGCCGCAGCAGCAGGAGCATCCGCACCCGAGACACCTCGGCCGCCTTCTCCCCTGCCTCCGCAGCAGCAGCCGTCGCCACAGCAGACTCAGCGGTCGCAGTAGCAGCAGCAGCAGCAGCAGGGAGCAGTGGGCTCTGGGGGTGCCGGTTCTGGGGGTGCTAGTGTTGGCGGTATTGGTGTTGGGGCTACTGGTGTTGGTGAAGTTGGTGTTGGGGGTGCTGGTTGTCCGGGTGCGAGTTCTGGGGGTGATGACTCTGGGGGTGCTGGTTCTGTGGGTGGTGCGTCCGAGGGTGCTCATCTTGGGGGTGCTGTCTCGGGGAGTGCCGGTGGCAGCCGCGGTGCCGCTGGAGGTCCTGGAGAGGACAGGGAGCAGTTGCAGCCGCAGCGGCAGCCGCAGCAACAGCAGTAGCAGGCACAGCCGCTGCAGCAAGCGCAACCGCCGCAGCAGGAGCAGCCGTAGTCTGGCCTTCGTCTCCTTGGTCTTGCTCCAGGTTCCCCTGTTCGCCCGCCTGTTCTCCCTACGATGCGTGCCCCTGTTTACGGCCCGCTGTTCCCTCCTCCGGACTCCTCTCCGGCTCATTTTCCCCGCGCTCCCCTCTGTCCCCAGACTTGTCCCCCGTTCCCCCTCGTCTCCAGTCCCCAGTTTTTCCCCACTGGGTCCGTCGCCCTTTCTGGTGCTCGTCCTGTCTCTCTTCGTCCTAGTGTCCACCCTATGGTTCTTCGTTCGTGTGCTCCTCCAGTCACAGTCCTCCCGTTGCCTCCCCCGTTGTCTCTTCCGTTGTTCCCCCCTCCTTGCTTCAACGCTGCTCTCGCTGCTCGTCTTACCCTCTCGCGCTTGCTTGCGTCGCTTGTCACTCATGCCACTGCTCCTCCTGAGACTATCTCTGCGCTTGTCGCTGCTATCGCTGACTTCGCCGCTAGCCACCGCCTTGACTACGCTGCCGTTCTGGTCTCTGGTACTGCCCGCCCTCCGTCCGTCGGTGGTGCACCTGCCCTTGGCTGTGACGTGCTAGAGGATAGGCAGTAAGAGTTAGCCTACTTTGCTGCCGTTGTTCCACATCTTTGCTCCATGCTTGTATCCCCAGAGGGCGACCCAGATGCTCTCGACATCCCTGTTCCGTGCTCTTACGCTGAGGCGGTGTCGGGACCCTGGGCAGCCCAGTGGATACAGACCACGAAGGCAAAAATGGCATCCTACAGATCCACAGGCACTTACGTCGACGAAGTTCCCCCCCCATGGACGAACGTAGCCGATGGCATGAGGATCTACAGGGTGCGCCACTCTTGCTGAGCTGCAGTTCTTTCCATCCTCTGCTGACCCTTGTCTCTTTGTTCGCACAGGTCAGACACCGTTCTACATTCTAGTGTACGTAGACGATCTTATCTTTGCTACTCCTAACAGAGTCGCACTGGCCTCAGTGAAGGCCGATTTACTTAGGAGACACACCTGTACAGACTTGGGGGAGCCGAGGCACTATCTGAGCTTGGAGATCTCTTGGGACCGTGCTGCTCGCACGATCACACTCTCCCAGTCCCATATGGTGCAGCAGATCCTCCATAGGTTCAGTCTCCAGTTCTCTTCAGCATAGCCCACCCCTCTGCCTGTGGATCACAACCTCTCTGTTCCTGTTCCGGCTGAGCCGGTCGAGGCTAGTGGTCCATACGCAGAGCTTGTGGGGTGTCTTATGTACCTGATGACCTACACTCGACCAGATCTAGCATACCCTCTCAGTCTATTGGCTCGCTTTGTTGCGACAGGCCAGTCCACTGGTCAGTTGCCAAGAGGGTACTGTTGAAATAAGCTAGGTAACTAGGGAAGAAGCCATGGAATGGCGTGAGGTTTAGGAAGGAGAAAATGTCGATAAAAGAGAGAGTCTTTGAAAAGAAGAGAGAGGGATACAAGAAGGAGGGTTGTACCCTCTACAGTAGGATCCAGTAACACCTACCAAGCCCCTAGGCTTGGTAGTCGAAAGCCCACCACACACATAGCACACTAAGCTACACACCCCCTAAGCCTAGCACCCCCATACTCCGGAGCAGCGGCAGCTTCTCCAGCAGGGTCAGCCCCTCGGTGCGTGAGGGCGGCGACGTCGACAGCGAGAGCAGCGGCTGCAACGGCGGTGCCGGCGGCAGCGTCGATAGCGACGGCGGCGGCGGCGTGGCCAGCGGCACCAGTTGCGACGGCGGCGGCTTCAATGACAGCTGCCGGCGGCGGCAGAGCTCGCAGTACTCGGCGGCATGGCCGGGCTCCGCGACGGTGGGATGGCTGGCGCGAGTCAGCCGCCGGCTGCGGTGAGGAAGAGGGGACGCAGGGGAAGGGGGCGGGGCTTCAGCAGTGGAGCCCGGGAGCGTGCCGCCCCGTGTGGCGCGCTGGCTGCATGCGGGCGTGCTGGCCAGCGCTAAGACGGGGCGCTGGCCGCTGCCGTCCGTGCCGTACGCGCGCTGGCGTGACGTCGCCACGGCAGCACGACGACGCCGTCACGCCGCCATGGCGTTACGTCGACGCCATAACAGCGCGACGCCACGGCAGCGCGTTGAGACGGCCGCGACAGTACGACGCGCCGCGGCCGGCAGCCCGACAACGTCGCTGCTGCAGCACGACGCGGCGGCCATGGCAGTGAGAGAGAGAAAGAGAGATATGAGGAGTGCGCGGCGGAAGGGTGATAAGCAAGCCCAGGAAGAGCAACCTGCTCTGAAACCATGTCAAAGCTAGCTAGGTAGAAAGAGACGCCATGAATGGCGAGAGGTTTTAGGTGCTAGAAAAATGTCGAGAGAAGAGAGAGTCTTTGAAAAGAAGAGAGAGGGATACAAGAAGGGGGATCCAGTAGCACCTACCAAGCCTACCATTATATATATCAAATATATAATTTAACACGTACTGCGGTATTTGGCAAGTACATTAGGACCGGGGCTTGTGCTAGGAGGACGGGAGCCAGTGGTGCTCACTGGACACACAGACGCGTCGTGGGCTGACGACGTGGAGATGCTCAGGTCGTCTCAGGGCTACTGTTTTAGTCTTGGTGCTGGTGCAGTCTCTTGGAGGTCCACCAGGTCATCGTCTGTAGCTCAGTTTTGTTGTGAGGCTGAGATCTACGCTGGGGCTATGGCTGCTCAAGAGCTCCGCTTGCTGACGTTCTTGCTCACTGACTTAGGTGAGCAGCCTCGGTCTGCCCCGGTCCTGTTTGCTGACAACATGGTCATGATCCTTCTATGTCAGGAGGCTCGACTTGAGGGTAGGGCGAAGCACATCCAGCTGCAGTACTTCTTGCTGCGTGAGTTGCAGCAGCTCGACCAGGCTCGAGTGGTACAATTGGCCTCGGAGGCCAACGCCGCTGATATCTTCACCAAGGCACTTACGCCTCGTGACCATCAGCGGTTCTGTACTCAGCTTGGTCTCGTCTCCGTAGCATCACCACTCCTTGTATCCTGGGTCATACTATACTTGCTTGTACGTGTTGTTCTATACATGCTTTTCTTGCTACACTTGTTGACTGGCCTTGTGGCCTCTTGTCTCACTGGTCAGACTAGTAGTGCTACCCTGGCTTGCCTTGTTGCCCTCACCAGAGGTCAAACAACGCTGCCCAGGTGTATTCTGCCTTTTTAATGAACTGCCAATGTCTAGGCTATGGGGTGTGTCAACAAATATATTTACACTGGCGGAAAGTATTGCCCGGATAATTGCATGAAAAATGTTTACGTACTTTTTTGGTGCCATTTTTGTATATTTACGATTCATATTTCGGCCTCGGCTGTAAAGTAGTTCTGTGTTGTGTGTAACAGGTATGGGTTTCAGATTTATAGGGGTCGATTTTTTAAAGGGGACGAGATCTAGTTCGCGTAGGTGCATTCGGACAGTTAATGCCAAGCGGCGTACTAGATCTATATCCTACCCTCCCTCATTCTACTTTCTTGCCCTCGCGACTTTGGAGTAGTCAGGTGATAGGCTAGGACCGCTGCTATGATTAGGCCATCATGAAGCCGTTAGATGAGGCGCTCTACGCACGGGTCATTACCTTGTTGCGGAGGGGGTATAGCACTAGTCGAATCGCTAAACAGCTAGGCATAGGGAAGAGTTCGTTCCATCAAGGCGATTGTAGAGTCTTGCCGCGATGATGTGCGTCCTACGATGCCCTCAGCCGGTCGTCCTCGCTTAGTGACACAGAGAGTCCGGCCTGACATACAGTAGTTCGGTCGATTACCAGCGAGGAGGCAAAAATCTCCGCTCACGTGGCGATGTTCGTCGAGAAGCAGCACGGCATCACGTTGCATCCTAAGACAGTGCGTAACGCTTTGAATGGCAGCAAAATTGTCGCAATCAACCATCCCACGAAGCCGCGACACTCTCGGAAAAACATACATGATAGGCTAGAATGGGCCCGTGCCCACG